TAAAAAAAGATGAGGCAATCCACTCAAATCGTAGCTCACAGCCTGATAACGCATTACACTTGGAGATGGCATGTTTCCCCCATGCATACATGGGTTTTCTCCAGGTATCCCACATACCAAAACATGTATGATAGGTTAATTGGAGACTAAATGGTCCCTAGATGTGAGTATTTGTCTCCATGTGTCCCTGTGATGGACTGGATACCTGTCCAGGATGTCTCCCACCTCTCAACAGATGACTGTTGGATTTGGACAGCAGGGTCAGCCAGGTTCCCAAACTGCAGCCATTTTTTGCTGTAATTTAACAGTGCTAGTGCTAACTGTGCCTAATTGCAGCCTGGGCCCAAAATAGGCCTGTTCAAACTAGCCGTTAGCTTGTCAATCTGACCTCAGCTATCGGCTTTGTCAAGTTGTTCCAAGAGTTATCTATAGCAAGTGGGTTGTGTTTAAATAAAGAGACAGTTGAAACATTGATAAAAATGAGCAAAGTCGTGTGCTTTCTCTCGCTACATATTCAGCCTCACAAGAAGAGCCACGGAAAAGGTGATGCCACCGCAGGAAGAGTTGAAACGGTTGCCATGGTGATGGGCAAAGACAGCCCTGACTGATTTGCTGCTCTTAGGTGACAGACACTCCTGCACAGAATAGCGTTGTGTGTCTTCATATTTCCTGCACACAAAGCTCAGAGGAGACACACTGTCGTCTCATCGTGAGAATTAAAAGTGAAGCAGGAGATTTTACACAGGACTGTAAAACAGATCGTCCACAGCATCGCTTCACACCACTTTGTGCTCTGCAGCTAATTAAATCCTGTTGGTAGGGGTTGGGAATAACTGAAACAAATGTTGAACCTTTTTTGGGTCTAAATAGTTGCTGCGGTTGCTCACGGACACATTCTGCAGAAACAGTTGTGCTTGGTTAGGGTTGGGGTTGGGGTAATGTAAACGTTGTGTTGTTACGATTGTTGAGGAGATCTGCCGTGAACGTTCCAGTCTGTGAGCATTCACTCTCTGGAGGTGCAGATGAGATGCTAAAATGAAATCTGAGCTTGCAGAGCACATAATTGTCGTCCGCGAGGTTCAGTACTGAATCAGAAATTCCTGATGAAATAAACCTAGATGGCTGTAGCTGCCCTGCATAAAGTTGCACGCCTTCTGGGACAGACGCAGCCGTCTCTGCTGTGCTGCTTGTAACAGAAATGTTCCCCGCTGGCGAGCGTCTCAAAGCCGCCGGTTGGTGGGGTGTGTTAATGCTTGTCAAGCTCAATTTACAATGATGTGAAATAAATTTTGTCCCTTCCACATTTCTTTCGGCTCGGTCCGAAAGCAACTACTGGACCATCCGGTCGTCTGAGTCACCAAACCACCCAACCTGCATGACCCCGGGTCCTTCACTCGCAAATTATGCAACAGAACATGTTTATGTATTTAGCAGACGCTTTTGTCCAAAGCGACTTACAAGTGATAATCGGCATGTTGCCCTTGACCCCTTCTTTACACCGGAGCCGTCAGCAGCACGTTACTGCAGCAGCACGTCGTAGCTGCTGATAGGAACCGCTGTGGTCAACAGAACCTTTTCCACCTGAGCCGTCAGCAGCGCGAGTCGGCCGCGTCTCAGGAGCAGCATGTTATGGCGCCGGTTCTATTTTCTACGCGCGACGCCTCTGAAACGGGTCAAGTTTGACATTTTTGGGGAAGGAAAGACAGGAAATCGGATGCGGAAATGGAACGAAGCTCCTGAGATTTTCAGAATAAAGAAACGTACTGCCTTCCGGTTGCTTTACTTTAAAAAAAGTTACCAAATGTGCGGCCCCGTGAGACGTTATCACCTAGTTAGCGGTTTCTTTTGTTTTTCAGGTCCGTATTGGCGATTATAAAACGGACAGAACATAAAACACAAACCTTTTGGAGTCATGTTGTAGTTTTCTCCTGCTTGTTGTTGTGTTTACTGACGAAGTCACTCGTGTGACTTCGTGCTCGGTCGGTGACAGCTGCTCCCCTGCTGCTTCGCGTCTCGTGGGAAGGGCCAAGCAGCAGTTTACGTGAGCAAGACGTGCTGCTGACGGCTCCTGTGGAAAGAAGGGGTCAAGCTAACAACAACAATAACAACAACAACAACTTGACATCAGTCATGGAGAGGAGGGAACAAGGAATGGACAGTAGAGAGGGGGGACGGGTGCAGGGAGGGTGCTAGTTTAGAAGATGCTCTCTGAAGAGCAGGGTCTTCAGGAGTTTCTTGAAAGTCAAAAAGGAAGCCGCTGTTCTGGTAGTGCTTGGAAGGTCATTCCACATTTGTGGAACGATGCATGAGAAGAGTCTGGATTGTCCTGAGCGTGGTGTAGGCACTGCTAGCCGACGATCCTGTGATGACCGGAGCGGCCGGGCCGAGACGTAAGCCTTTGCAAGAGGATTCAGGTAGATGGGAGCCGTACCATCTCGGACTTTGTATGCTAGTGTTAGCAATTTGAATTTGATGTGTGCTGCTAGCGGTAGCCAGTGGAGCTCAATGAACAGAGGGGTGATGTGTGCTCTTTTTGGCTGATTGAAGACCAGACGCGCCGCTGCGTTCTGGACCATTTGAAGAGGTCTCACCGTACAGGCTGGAAGACCAGTTAGAAGGGCATTGCAGTAATCGAGGCGGGAGATGACAGTAGATTGCACCAGGAGCTGGGTGGCATGTTGTGTTAGGTATGGTCTGATCTTTCATATGTTATACAGCACAAAGCGGCATGAACGAGCAACAGAGGCAACATGATCTTTAAAGGTCAGGTGTTCATCAATCACAACACCCAGATTTCGAACTGCCTTTGAAGGAGCCAGAGATAGGAAGTCATTTTGGATTGAGATATTGTGTTGTATGGATGGTTTTGCATCACTGGTGTGAAAGGTTTGCTGCTCATTAATATCAGAGAAGGAGAAACTAATCCTACCACTTAAACAAAGGACAAACTACCAGACCCCTCCCCCCCCAAATCACCATTTGAATCACAGAAAACAAATGAAAACTATGACTGGTGTTTAGTGCTCTCTCGTTTACTGTGGAAATGAACGTCCTAGTATCAAGCAAACGTGGCCTAGAGATGGTAGGCATCAGGAGGTAGAGCGGGTTGTCCAGCAGCGGAAGGTTGCAGGTTCCAACCTGGCTCCCAACAGAGAATGCTGATGTTGTGTCCTTGGGCAAGACACTTAACCCCCTTTGCCTGCTGGTGGTGGATGGAGGGACTGATGAGGCCTGTGCTCAGAAGCCTCGCCTCTGTCAGTACGCCCCAGAGCTGCTGTGGCTACATTGTGCTCCGGACAAGCTGGTTCCCAAAGTCAGAGACTCTCTTGGTCAGCTTGCTTCCCACACCAAACCTTCTGTCAGGAATCTTGGCGTGACCTTTGACCCAGCTCTCACCCTGGATTCTCATGTCAGTTCTCTTGTTCGCTCTTCCTTCTTCCATCTCAGGAACATTGTTAAGCTGAGTCCCGTTCTGTCCCGCTCTGAACTTGAGAAAGTTCTCCACACCTTCATCTCCTCACGCTTAGACTACTGTAACTCTCTTTTCACGTGTCTGAGCAGAACCTCCCTGAACCGTCTACAGGTGGTTCAGAACGCCTGTGCTCAGCTTCTGACCAAGTCCTCCAAACACACCCACATCACCCCGCTTCTCCTCCAGCTTCACTGGCTGCCAGTCAACTTCAGGGTTCATTTCAAGATCCTGGTTCTGGTCTATAGGGCCTAACATGGACAAGCGCCATCTTACACTGGTGATCTTCTCAGTCCCTACACCTCCAGCAGGTCCCTGAGGTCCAGTGATCAAAGCCTACTGGTTGTGCAGCACCAGGCTAAAGACCAAAGGTGACAGATCATCTGCTGCTGTGGTCCCCAGACTCTGGACCTCTCTCCCCCTGAGCCTGAGATCAGTGGACTCAGTGGTCTCCTTTAAAAAGCAGCTGAAGACTCACTTGTTCAAGCTGGCTTTTGGATGACCTTCTTCACCACTCTCTCTTTATTCTGCTCTCCCCACCTATTCCTCCTTCCTCAGGATCCACTGATTTCCCTCTTTCCTATTCACTCTCTCTCTTTACATTTTAACCACAATTGTCTATTTTTGCTCATTTTAAACATATTTTTAATCATTTTATAAATTCTTTTTTATATTCAAAATTTTTTGTTTTTGTGAAGCACCTCGTGATTTTTGTCTTGAGATGTGCTATAGAAAAGATCTTTTCTTCTTCTTCTTCTTCTTCTTCTATTGTAGCTCATCATCAATGGTGTGTGAATGGATGAATGATACACTGAAATGTAAAGTGCTTTGAAGTCCTCTGACTCTGACAGGCGCTACACAAGTGCGGCTCATTTATCGTAACCGACGGGAGAGGTGAGTCCCATCACTGTGCTCGTGTTTAAAAGCTAGCTTGTTTTGCAGATTTGCCATAGAAGTTTTAAGAGTGCTCTGGTCTGCTCGGATATTCAACATTTTGGATTATCTTTGTCTGATTTAAGGTCCTGTCGAATGTGGTGTGTAGTCAATCAAAACGCGAGGTAACGCAAGCACGCTGCACAGTGTGAGGGGATTCCAGATCCTCCTCTTCATCAGCCATGTTTATGTTATATGAAATGTCCCATCTGACCTGGAAATGTTGGCGTGTGACATCATGCGTGATGTGTTGTTTTCTGTGTGGCCGGACACCACAGACTGCAGGACCAAAACGGTTACATCCGTGATTTCATCACCGCATCTGGAGTCTCTCATCCTTTGAAAATGTTCCTCTTGTGAACCAGCCTTAAAAGGGAACCTCTAAAGGAAATAAAAACAAAGTTTCACTTACTTATGGTTTCGGTCAAAGGTTCAGGGATAAAAACGAGATCGTGGGCTAATGTTGGAAAACAGAGAGGGATGAAATTCCCACTCGTTATCGCTGACGTTTAGCTGTTCTCCTCTCAACTCCAAGTGTTGCATAGATGCACCACATGCCTCTTTAAACTCATGTGTCGTTCTCTCTTCATCGTTGAAGGTCTGCTGGCCAACAAGAACCATTTACCCATCGAGGAGGAAGACAACGAAAGGAAGCTCAACTACAATCCTCCGGCTCAGAAATCCCTGCAGGAGATCCAGGAAATGGACAAAGATGATGAGAGTCTGGTGAAGTACAAGCAGACTCTGCTGGGGCCTGAGGCAAAGAATACAGGTTAGTGTGTGTTCCTGTATGTGGGGGAGCATTGCCGTTTACTTTGGTGCCCTGTGTGTCTGCAGATCTAATAACATTGTTCCCTCACAATAGAAGGACTCGGCTCTAACAGGCAGCAGCAGATTTGCTCGCGTCAGCACCTTTATTCCAGCAGCCATAATGGCTGATATCACAGAAACAGCTCTACTGCTTTAAAGCTGCAAGTCAAAACCACCTCATCTACAGCTTAGGAGCAGTTAAAGTCATGCAGCAATACCACTTTAGAACACATGGTCAAATATCGGACTTTTAACATGAAATCAAATCACGTTTTTATTTTATTACAATTTTTATGGGATTTGACTTAACCCTTTAACAGGGGCACCTCCAGAAAAATTTGATAAGGGTGGCCAGATGGGGCCAGAGACATTTTTGGGGTGGCACACCAAATTGGTCCTTGTGGTAACTCTGGGAGAGTTTAGCTTGTGGTGATGCACTGCATTGCTCCTTTATTCGTTTTTATAAATAAATAAAAAATCGGTATGAATTCAGAACACTTAATTCAAATCTTACAAACACAAACATTTCAGAAAAATACATTTCAGTTATTTAAAATGTTTTATTTTTTTCAAAATTTATTTAAAATACATTTTTTGTTTAATTTACCTGTTGCTGTGTTCACAAAAATCTATGGAAATAAAACCTTTTTTTTAATGTTGAGAAGAAGAAACATGTATTTTTTATTCAGATTATTTCTTTACTCATTAACTGTATCATTTTTATTGTGTTTTACATTTATGCCTTGAATAAATAAGATGAATTTATCGTTTGAGTGAACAGTGAACAGCAATTTTCTAGGGGGGGGGGCTATGGCCACCCCTGGCCACCCCTTGGGGGCGCCATTGCCCTTTAAACCTGATACACTATAGTCAGAAAAATCTATTTTTTATACAAAGGATTTATATATTTATGGGCTGAGGCCAACAAAACAATTTCATAATTATTGAAAACATTTTATATGAAAACTTCCAAAAGTAATAAAAAATAATTGGAACTTATGTGCTGCAGTACTTGGATCTTCCACAAGGAGTCAGAAGTGTTGCACACAAATTAAATGAGCAGTAGTCTGAGGAAGGTACTCATCCTATTAAAGCAGGGGTGGGGAACCCTGTTCCATCAAGGGCCGCTACTCGGCATATTTTAGTTTCAACCTTGCATCATCACACCTGATTTCATTCAGCAGGTGATTAACAAGCTTCTGCGGAGCTTGATGAGCTGCAGAACAGGTGAACCAACCACTGAATCAGAAGCGTTGGAGCAAAGACATGCAGGATACCGGCCCTCGAGGACCAGGGTTCCCCACTCCTGCATTAAAGGGATAGAGGTGCAAGGAACTTTGGAATATGTGTCACAAATACCTTGTATGAATGTAAACGCTTAAAAGCTTTTAAACAGAACTTGAGCTTGAAAAACCATAAAAGAATGAATGAATGAATTCAATACAAACAGCAGATCTAAAGAAATGTGTAGACTTTCTCACCTGGGCCACGCATGGAGAAATGACTGAATTTGGTGGTGAACAGTAAAAATCATAAATTTGACTCCCTTTCTCGAAATTAAACCACATCACAGAAAGCATGATCATTTGTTGCAGATGTTACAAGATGAAAAACTGTGATTTGAATGGAAGTCAATGGGACGTTTTTGGCCTCTAAGGTCAATCTGTTGCTACACAAAAACTATTGATGCAAATTTTATACTTTTTTTTATATTTCATAACATGACCAAGACTGATTTATAATAAATGCCCCAGGAAGAAATTGTAGTTTATTTTATTTTTTGGAAAATAAATAATTTTGTTTTTTGTTTTTTTTCCATAAATTACAGTGATGACTTTGAGTATTCAAACTGGCATTTCAAGGGTTAAAAGCCTCAAAATGATTTAAATGTTTATATGTTTGAGCAGGGCTGAAGTTGTTTAACAGATCTATGAAAACGAAAGCAAGAAAAACTATTAATGTATCCATTTTTTATAGCCACTTTTCCTCTTTAGTCCTCTAATGACTCATGGTTCTCGACCGGAAAAGGGTGGCTTGCCAACTCTGGGTCAGGGGAGAGGTCCTACCTCAAGTGGAGGAGTTTAAGTATCTTGGGGTCTTGTTCACGAGTGAGGGTAGGAGGGATCGGGAGATCGACAGGCGGATTGGTTCAGCGTCTGCAGTGATGCGGCCGCTGAGCCGATCTGTCGTGGTGAAGAGGGAGCCGAGCCAGAAAGCCAGGCTCTCGATTTACCGGTCAATCTACGTTCCAATCCTCACCTATGGTCATGAGCTTTGGGTAATGACCGAAAGAACAAGATCGCGGATACAAGCGGCCGAAATGAGTTTCCTCCGTAGGGTGGCCGGGCTCAGCCTTAGAGATAGGGTGAGGAGCTCGGACATTTGGGAGGGACTCGGAGTAGAACCGCTGCTCCTCCGGATCGAAAGGAGTCAGTTGAGGTGGTTTGGGCATCTGGTCAGGATGACTCCTGGACGCCTCCCTGGGGAGGTGTTTCGGGCATGTCCTGCCGGCAGGAGGCCCCCGGGTCCACCCAGGACACGTTGGAGAGGTTACATCTCCAATCTGGTCCGGGAATGCCTTGGGGTCCTGCCGGAGGAGCTGGCGGAGAAGGCCGGGGAGAGGACGGTATGGAGCTCCCTAGTTGGGATGCTGCCCCCGCGACCCGGACCCGGATAAGCGGAGGAAGACGACGACGACGACGAGACGACGACGTATAGTAAATTAAAGTGAAGCCTGAGGATAAGTTGTTTTGCTAACAAACATCCCGTCACAGGCAAAAACATTATGGTCTGACACCAAGCACTCGTTTGCATTTTTTCATTAGCTTAGAATGTAAAATTATTTTTTTATCTTTGATATCGATGATGAAATTAAAGTATTAAAAGCACAATGTGTAAGAATTTTACTGTGAAATAATCACAAAAAAGTTTAATGTCTCAATCGGGGTGGAGGGAAGGTTCCATTGAAACAGATTCCCTTCTTAACATGGCAACATCTTAACTGGTGGCCAGGTTTTCACCTTTCAAAAAGGCCAAAGAGGGACGCCTTTGTTTACGATCTGTGAGTCTACAGTGTTGCAGAGTCTGCGTCGAGCTAACTGCACCAGCGTTTGGAAGATCCTTAGTAACAGCAGCGACTCTGCAGTTATTTCTAGTAACCCTAACAAGCCTCGATATGTTTTTGTTTTAAACTAATATCTTGTGAAGAAGGCTTGAGGCAAATTAGAACGGTGAATCATAAACAAATAATAATAATACATCAAACTTATAGAGTGCTTTTTAGGTCACTCAAAGACGCATAATCTTAAAATATTTAGCTCTAAAAAAAATCTCAAGCTACTTTTTCAATTACCAACAACTCAATATTAGTGAAATGTGTTTATCTAGGCACCAACTCACTCCGTATGACTCGTCTGCAGTTGTCAACTAGAATCTTCTGTCGCTGATCTATAACAGCAAACATCCATGAGAGTCACTGAATGGTGGTGAGAAGGTCCCCCCCCCTGCCCCCCAAATGGGTGGCTGATAATAAACTTTTGACCCCATGAGTTCATTCTTACTTCATTCTTACACAAAGCACTTTTAAATGTCCTAAGATATTTTCTTCTTGCTTCCAGTCTTTGTGTTTAGCTATCTTCAACATAGACGGCTCCTAAGTGAAATTATTCCAATCATGTTTGAATTTAACAACACTTTTTCTCTCCACCAGACCTCTCTGGACCGAATGTCAGGGTGACCAGACTGGCCCTGTTGTGTGACGACGCTCCTGAGCCAATCACCATGGACCTAACAGGTACGTGCTGGATAGGACTGCTGTGTCTCCTAGCAGGGTAGATCCACCCATTCAGATGTACTTCTGTGTGTAGTGGTGTTTTTGAGGGCACTGACACCAGAAAAGGGAAAACTCTTGCTTGATCAAAGAAAACAGAACAGAAAATCCTAAAAATTCAAGTTTCAACACCCGAATTCACAAACCAGAATTTAGGAATGCCTCGTTTCGATATTGATATCGGCCCCAAAACACTGTATCGGATTATATCGGACTGCATCAAAAATCTCCGATATTAGCAGTACGTTCCGCTTTAAATTCCATTCCAGCAATTCTATACATCAGCGCCCAGATCCAGCGTGCAAACTCCACGTGATCAGAACCGTGTGTGCTAGCAAAGTAGCAAGGAACAGTGTTGGCCATGTGGCTGTACTTTCTGTTAAAGTCTGAAAAAGACAATTTGGCAACACTGTCATGCACAAGTTTCCCGTGGTGGAACAGAACCGGGGAAGAATAATACGTCCAACCTCGTCGCGCATTTGAAGCAGGATCACAAAACATTGCATGAGGATTTTGTAGCGGTTGGTCAGTGAACAACATTGCGTTTTTTTCCTTAAGTCCCTCACCTCAGCTGTTCAACTTTATGCAACCAAAGGTTAATAAAAATACATACTGTTGCCGGCTTTTGTTTTCTGTTTGAGTAATATCACTTGATCAAGCCTTTTATACATTCCACACTATGAAATAGGTAAAAGTGTGTATGATTGATTGGTCCTGACATCATGTTGGATTGATATCGGTATCGGTCAATACTGAAGGCTGCAATATTGTTATCGTATATCGGAAGTGAAAAATGTTGCGTTGGGACATCCCTACCAAAAATCAAAGTCATGGTCATAATGTTCCTCCATTTTTCCCCAATGAAGAATCTACGGTTTATATGAAAAATTACCACTTTATTCTCTTCATTAAAAAACAACAACATCTCACAAATCTAGTGAGTTTATACCTTCTTATGTAGTTTCTTTGCTAATGTTCTGACACTTTAGCAGAAGTCTGTTGTGTCCAGAAGAAAACCTTCTGCCAAATGAGCTAAATGCCTTCTAGGAAGGGTTGGCCAAAACTAGACTGGGAAGTGCAGCTTTTTTAGGTGGTGGAACTGGTTTAAACGTGATGTAAGTGGTTATTGTTGCTGATCTCCACTCACTGAACTGCAAAGAAAAACTTGCTTTCAAATACTGCAACAGTACTCTACTGTTCTCAACCACACCGTTCAGATTTTATGGAAATACTGTATATCTTACAACTAAAAATAGTATGTCATAATTTCAATTGCAATGTTATTCAATGGACCTTTATGGCATCATCTTTTCACATTACTTTGCAAAAAATATATTTTTTAATCTGAACCACAGGATGACATGGGAATTACTGAAATATGAAGTGTGTAGGTGAAAATGTTTGTAAAAGGTTGCATGATAGTCCAAACAAGTGACGCCATGCAGCTGCACCAAAACCAAACCAGCTCAGAAAATGGCCTGTATTTGATATAGCGCCTTCTAGAGTACTGGAACCCCCCAAGGCGCTTTACAACACAATCAGTCATTCACCCATTCACACACACATTCACACACTGGTGGGGATGAGCTATGATGTAGCCACAGCTGCCCTGGGGCGCACTGACAGAGGCGAGGCTGCCGAGCACTGGCGCCACCGGTCCACCCGACCACCGCCAGCAGGCAACGTGGGTTAAGTGTCTTGCCCAAGGACACAACGACAGCGACAGACTGAGCGGGGCTCGAACCTGCAACCTTCCAATTACAGGGCGAGCACTTTACTCCTGTGCCACCGTCGCCCCACAACTCTGCAAAAGTCAAGATCTGGTCCACTGTCCCCCTGACCTGGATGAAAGCCACATTTTACCTTCTGAACTCGAGGTCCAAAGACTGAAACATGTGTTTCCAGGCAGCTAGAACATTCTCTCTAGTTATCTACAGGTGTTCACCAAGAGCCAACCAGGCCAAACAAGCATTCATTCAGCATCTCAGGGTGGATCGGACCCACCTGTGACGCCCTTCCACCAAAGACTGTTTTAACCCTTTCAGCAACAGTGTAATGTACTCAACACTTCTTTAAGTCCTGAACCTCATCATCAGCGAAGAAAGGTAACCGGATTAAGGAGATCATCAAGAAACAGTTCCCCAAGTTCTAAGTCCTTTGATGCTTTATCAGATGGCTTTCCAGAACCTCCTTGAGTAAAAAAAACTCCTTCTCCATGGCCACTCCCTTTCATTAAGCCCTATCAACAACTATTGGCGGTACACCAGTCAACCCCCACCAGTCATTCCTTAGACTCGATCCCATCCCTAAAGACAGTTTCACGTGATTCCGTACGACTTCCAGACAGACCGCCATTCACGCCGACTGTGGTTTGTGTGCTGAACATCTCCGGAAATCTGCTCCCACAGAACCACCAAATGATTAGAAATGTAACATAATACGTCTAATACATGTAAGAATAACATCAGTCATCATACATTGTGAACTGATTTCCCTGTCATTAATAATAAAACAAAAACTGGCAAAAATAATGTGACAAAGGTTTTATTTTTAACCCTCCCACTGTCTTTATGGGTGACCACCGCGAGGAAAGTTGACCATTGAGCAGGATTGATGGTTTATCCCTTTAAGTCCACGTGGCAGGGGTGAGGAGTGAGCACCACCTCACCCCTGCCACGTGGATCCAAGGGATAACCCATCAACCCTGCTCAATGGTCAACTTTCCTCGCGGGGTCACACCCATTAGGACAGTGGGAGGGTTAAATATACCAAATGTACACTTGCTGAAACACATCTCACTCAGTGTCAGGTTCATGTAATCTTTTTATTTCATGACAATCCGCATGCGACATCTGGAAAAGTAATAGACTCCGTGCAGATATTCCAAAGCCCCGAATCCAGATCCGCACTGCTCCACAGCCAGTGTGAATGCTCTTAAGGTCAGGTAAAACCGAATGTCCTTTCCTGCCCATCTAGGAGAAAAACTTGGGTCCACAAAACAAAATGGGATTGTGAAGCACCATGCCTGCAGGTGGCAGTAGTCCCTCACCTGCATCTTTGCCTAAAAACTTTCCTAGGACAAGGAATAACCCGGTGACAGATTGACCATCCATTATGTCGTCCTTGGCTCATGTTCTTCTATGTAGAGCAGTAGAGTAGAGCAGCTTGTAAATATAAGCAAGTGCAAACACAGAGCAACTAAAACCCTAGTTATTTACAAATGACGAATTACCCACACTTGTATAGTGTCTTCCAGTCAGAGGACTCCAAAGTGCTTTACACTACAGTGAATCATTCACCCATTCACATGCTGATGGTGATGAGCTACATCCCAGCAACAGCTGTGCTGGAGCACATTGACGGAGGCAAGGCTGCCAAGCACCATCGCCACTGGACATCCAACCACCAGCAGGCAAGGTGGATTAAACGTCATGCCCAAGGACACAACAGCAAACAACCCTCTGATTACTGGACAACCCTCACTACCTCCTAAGCTACTGCTGCCCACAAGCAAATGCTGACAATGGAGAATTCACATATCTCCACTTTGGTTGGAGTTTTTGAAAGAATTGTCTTTTAAACCGTATATCTTCGCTTTGTGTGGATGACAGGCCTAACCATAGAAAAAATCTTTGTTTTATGGTACACTACGTGTGTACATGGTCCAAGTGACACACATTCTCATGCTGCTTTGTGTTGCAGCCAGGAAGCCTGCTGTCCTGATGTGGAATGGATTAGATTGAGGGCATTATTAGACTGTAGAACAGGGTCACATCCATTATGGAGACAATGACTGTGCACTCTGGACGTCTGAGCTGAAAGGGAACGGAGACAGTCTGACCAACTTACGTCTGTCCGTGTTTAAATCTGAACTCTCAGATCAGAAATCTTCATTCCTCTAGAGGTGCTTTTATAAGACACACCATGCCGGCATGTCAGCGTAATATTACCGCAATGGTATGTCTATAAACGCGCCATGCCGGCATGGCGCTGCACGAATATTGCGGCATTCGTTCTGCCTCACTTGGTAGTAATATTGCCGCATCAGCCCCTCGCCTCTGACGGCTAAATGCGTGTCAGCCCCGCTAATCCCTTTGGAGCGACTGTGGGAGCCCCCCCCCACACACACACACACACACACACAAAAGAGGGTGTTCCCGTTAGCCATGTGTACTGCGCGCTGAGTGCCGGCCGGCAGGAAAGCCGGTTGGACGGACGTGGAGACCATGGAGCTTTTGGCTGTGCGAGCGGACAAACAGATAAGTCGCCTTTTTACGGGGACGGTGAGAGACAGCCAGCTGTTCGACGTGGGGCGGGGCGTCAAGCGGGACAAAAAGCCAACATATTCTCACACCCAAGGCATCAAAATATGACGCGTGTGACCAAGCGTCAATATATGACAATTCGGGACGCCCCAGCGTGTCAGGAAACAACGATCAGGCACACGCTGGGTCACGTGGCGTCCCAGAGCAACGGTGTCCGGCACCAGTGGTTAGACGGACATTAGAACTACTTGTTAACTACTTAACCTTCCCCTCACCCCAATCCTAACCTTAAGGTCACAGTTTATGGACCTTACGGTTAGGATTGGGGTGAGGTGAAGGTTAAATAGTCAAATAATGTCCGTGTGACCGCTCGCGTCAAACAGTGACGCCAGTGGAGCCACGTGAACCAGCGTGTCCCTGATTGTCATCTCCTGACGCGCTGGGGCATCCTGAATCGTCATATATTGACGTGGTCACACACTTCATATTTTGATGCCTTGGGTGTGAGAATGTGTTGAAAAACCAGGTCACATCAAAGCTAAAGGTCCTGATAAAGAAATTTCATCAGTCTGACGTGTCCTCCGTCTGACGCTGAATGTGCGACCCTGTACATCACATGCAGGGGGGGGGAGGTGGTGGGGTGGGTGGTCGCCAAGCGACCTCCCTATATCCCGTTTTGGTTGGAGAGGTGCCTGATGG